AACCAAACCAAACCAAAACAGATGCTGCAGTCTTTTTTTTTTTTTTTTCTTCTCTCTTTCATGTGGCCTGAACTCTGGGCCTGGGCGCTGTCCCTGAGCTTCTTTTGCTCAAGGCTAGCACTCTACCACTTGAGCCACAGCACCACTTCCGGCTTTTTCTGTGTATGTGGTGCTGAGGAATGGAACCCAGGGCTTCATGCATGCAAGGCAAGCACTCTACCACTGAGCCACCTTCCCAGCCTGGGTCTCAGGTTCTTGCTTGCGGCCAGCCTCCTTCCACCCTTCTACCTAGCTCTGTCTCCTGAGTCGCTGAGCTTACAGACACAGGCCACCCTCCCTAACTTATTGTTTGAGGTAGGGTCTTTATAACTCTTTGCCCAGGCTGGCTTCAAATGGCAGTCTCCCTCACCTCACGAATGGAGTAGCCTGGCCCGTGGGTGTCCCCTGGGTGGTGTCCCCTGCGTGGGGGGTGGCGCCCCGCAGGCTGGCCACCCAGGGCCTCCTTGCTGCGCGGCAGGTGGCAGGGTGACGAGCTGCAGGAGGAGGTGACGGCGGAGTACGTGCTCCTCGAGGTGAACGGGCTCTTCACCTACTCCTACTCGCTGACGGCAGGCTCCGCCCTGTGCCACACGCAGCCGCAGAACTGGACCACCATCAAGCAGGACTCCACCACCTGGAACCGAGAGGTGACGGGCCCCGGGGCCCCAACGTGGGGAAAGAGGAGAGATCTGGGGTGCTGTCCCTGAGCTGCTTTTTTTTTTTTTTTTTTTCTGTTGGTCATGGGGCCTGAACTCTGGGCCTGGGCGCTGTCCCTCAGCTCTTCAGCTCAAGGCTAGCGCTCTAACCACTTGAGCCACAGCACTACTGCTAGTTTTCGGGTGGTTTATTGGAGATAAGGGTCTCCGTGGACTTTCCTGCCCAGGCTGGCTTTGAACCTCGATCCTCAGATCTCAGCCTCCTGAGTAGCTAGGATGACAGGTGGGAGCCAACTGGAGCGGGGCTCTATCTTGGCTTTTTACACAATCACCAGCCACACTGGGTCAGCTCCCTTGGAAAGGGTCCCATGTTCCCCAACCCTCCTACGCTGAAATGTCAGCATGGAGACCCTCCTCCATACATGCCCTGGGGGCCTTGGGAGAGAGCAAGGTTCAGAGCCAAGCATGGGCGCACAGGCGATCTGACAAACCTGAGCAAACCTGCCGAGGGCACCCGAGGAGGAGGCCCGATGGAGGCTGGAAAGCCACCCTTGGGTCTCCCCCACACAGGCGGGGGCTGGCCCAACCCCGCCAGCCCAGGGCCCAGGCCTGGGCAGGGCCAGGCCCAGCTTTGTTCCTCCCCTCAGAACTACGTCAGCTGCTGGGAGCCCAGCGAAAACCCACCTCTGCTGTGGCCTGATGTGCCCTATCAGGTCCTGGGTGGCCCCACCAGCAACGAGATCATTTTCGACCAACGGAACGGCATCTACATCTTCTACCTGTCCATTGTGGACCCCCACTACAGGTGAGCCTCCCGTCCGTACCTGGGCTCCCCACCCATCCCCTGCAGCACTCCTACCAACCCTGGGTAAAGCTGCGTAGCCTAGGCAGCGCTGGAGGGTGACTTTTTGTTTTGTTTTGTCGGTCGTGGGGCTTGAACTCAGGGCCTGGGCGCTGTCCCTGAGCTCTTCAGCTCAAGGCTAGCGCTCTACCACTTGAGCCACAGCACCACTTCCGGTTTTCTGAGTGGTTTATGGGTGATAAGAGTCTCACAGACTTTCCTTCCTAGGCTGGCTTTGAACCCCGATCCTCAGATCTCAGCCTTTTTTGGAGTATCTGAGATTACAAAGTCTGACCTGGTCCTTGTTGGCCTTTCGTGCAGCTACTGCCACCTGTACACCACGTTCAGCATCTATGTGTACGGGGCCTACCCGCTGCCCGTGGTGCCGCCCGAGATCACCATCTTCCTGCTGGTGATCGGCATGCTGCTGTGCCTGTGGCTGGCCTACATCATCCCCAAGCTGCTGAACACACAGTGCGGCCTCTCCATCAAAAACTTCTGGAGGTGGCTGGGCACCAAGGTCTGGGCGTTCTGCACCTGCTCCTTGTTGAGGAGTTTACTGAGGAGGATGTGGGCGCGCATGACGCAGGCAGACAGGCCTCCTGAAGCCAGCCCGAGCCCCGCAACGCCTGACCAGGACCCTGTCTCAAAATAAATGCTTTAGTGACCAAGTGGGGACACTGTGTGTGTAGTTTTCAGCAATCTCCCATTTTCTCTCTTTTGTGGGTCTTGAACTCTGGGCCTGG